AAACAGCATGAGAGGGGAGAGGGTCAGAGGGAGAAGCAGGCTCCCCGCTGAGCCGGGAGCCCGATGTGGGACTCAATCCCAGGACTCTGGGATCAGGACCTGAGCTGAAGGCAGTCGCTTAACCAACTGAGCCACCCAGGCGCCCATATTTTTTACTTTTTCTTATTACTTATGTACATAGCCTCTCTCCTACCAAAGTCCTAACTTTCTTAAGGGCACAGTACAGCTCTACCCCATAACTGCACTGTATTTCTCATGATGCACAATGCCTTGTGCATGGTAGGTTTTCTTTAATATTTATTAAACTATTCTTGTGACCTTCATTAAACATTTTTATCATCAGTATATTTGAGAACTTGCTCATCATGATACTTCATTGGTTGGCTTTTTCTGATTCTCACACTGCAACATAAACCAGCCACAAGAGTCTGTTCCAAGGGACCAAATTCCCCTCTCCCATCCTGAAGTTCTCTAGAAGCAAGATTTCGTGGAAAGAATCTTGGAGAAGGATTAGGAGACTTGGATCTGCTTCTCTGTTGCTAATTTGCTGTGTGATTTTAGGTTATTTACATCCCTCTCTGTCCCTCATATTCCTCATCGCCAAATTGGGAATAGTCCACCCTATGGATCTCAGTTTTACTTGGTCAGATGAGATTATTGTGAAGGAGCTTTGAACAGGACCCTGTGAAAATGTAGGTGACAGTGTTATTAATGATCTCCTGATGATGCGTGAGATCTCTTTAGCATTTCATTTAAATTCTAGGCATCTGCCTTTTCTTCTACTAGAGAAAGGCTTTGGCCTTACTGCTATTATGTGGGGTTTTCTTTTCTTCTTTTTTTTAATAATAAAACTCTGCTCTAAAGGTCTACCTGACACTGTTTTAATTTGCCTTTTCATGTTGTGTTTGTTCTTGCTAATATCACTAATTTTCCAAGCTCTTTTCTTCTTCAGAGGAATGCATTTTTTAAATGGGTTTGTCATCTGCTTTGAGATCCTATTAGTAGTAGGCCTCAGATTTAGTTCTCTCATTTAACTACTATACTTTTACTATAAGTAAGTATATTTTTACTATACTTTTACTATAACTCTAGTATACTATACTTACTATACTTACAGAAATTCTGGATTTCTTTCTGTCAACTCTTATTTCCAGGTGTCAGGAGATGGCTGAGTACTAACCTGTTAAAGCAGCATTAAAGTCTTTTTACCTTTTATTTTCTCAGGGTTGTGATTTAATTGACATTAGGATTCTCTGTGAATATGTTCACCTACAGAAGTTGGATCTTTCAGTAAATAAAATTGAAGGTATGTAATTTTCATTCTAGTAGATGGATAGATCATTCAGTTATTTCAAAATTTAACCTTTGCAGTATGTAATGTAGATTAATACTACAAAACTTGGTATAAGCGCTATTGTGGATTCATTTACATATCGATGCTCTACTTTGCATGTAAAAAAGGCACCATTGGTGATGAGTAAAGTCAGCAAACATGCAACATTACGCTATGGTTCAAAGGTGCTCAGTGATGTTGAAGAGTATCCCATGGAATGTTTGCTTTGTTTTTTCCTTGTAAGAGACGGCTCATTACTTCTTTAATACTTTCTGAATATTTGATGATTCCCTTGTCTTTCCCCCTATTAGTTTATTCAGTACAAATGAATTAGTCCTCCCCTCCTCCCTTTTTTTCCTTTAATGGATTCTTTTCTTTATTTTGCTTTGGCGTCTACATTTTAATTCTGGCCAGCTACTTCTTTTCTTCTCGAGTGCCAGGGATTCACGCATTTATTTATTCCTCTTTTTTTTTTTTTTTTTTTTTACTGTCTCTATACATGTATCTGATTCTTTCAACTTCACCATTTGTAGTTCTCTGTAATGTATTTGTTGTGACATCTTGCTTACATTTAATGAAATTAGTCACATTTTCTTCGAAGCTTGATTCTTGTTCCTAATTTTCTGATCTTATTTGAAGTTAAAGTGTCCGATTTCTTTTGTTTAGACTTGGAGGGAAGTCAGCAGTTGTTATTTCCGACCTGCTTTCTTTGTTGGCCATCTTTCCTCTCGCTTGTTTAGCCTGTCTTTTTTATGACGGTTAAATGTTACTGATACGGGGGCGCCTGGGTGGCTCAGTTGGTTAAGCGACTGCCTTCGGCTCAGGTCATGATCCTGGAGTCCCGGGATCGAGTCCCGCATCGGGCTCC